GTCGATGGCGTCATCAATGCGCGGCAAAGGATATACGTCCTTGCGGGTTATCTTATTCAAACGACGATAGTCTACGCAAAATCGGATAGATCCGTCTTTCTTACGCACCAGGACGACAGGAGACGCCCAGGGACTGTGAGATGGTCGAATAACGTCTCTACGAAGCATATCTTCGACTTGATCGTTGATGACGCGGCGCTCTTCAGTGGAGACACGGTATGGTCTTTGACGCAGTGGCTGGTGTAGGCCGGTGTCAACATGATGCTTGACTTGCGACGTGCGGCCTAGTTGAGGTTGGGACACATCGAAGGAATTCCGGAACTCATGCAGAAGATCAAGCAGGTCGGCATGTTCGGTGGGAGTAAGGGTGTCGGCGATGGCGCTGGAAAACGTATCCTTAGACGACTCCTCGAGGGCCGACAGTGATTTTGGGTGGTCGCAGTATTCATCCGGGACATCAACCAAAGACGAAGGGTCGAGATCCTGCACGCGGCCGAGACATTCTCCCGCAAGCAAAGTGACAGTTGTGGAAAGCGGGTTGAGTATGAACATATTACTTCTTCCGGCGGCAAGGTCAATCGTTGCGAAAGGCAGTGGCAGAGCTCGACGACTCGTGAAGATATCGGAAGGCATAAAAAAGACTGTAGCGTCAGTGTAGGCGTTGCATGAAATCGGAACAAGTGCGAAGTTTTCAGGCGGAATATCGGTGTCTTCATGCACAAACAACTTTGGCGGCTGATGAAGAGCGTCAAGTAATGGGACATCACAAAAGGGTGAAAACTCAACTTCAGCGCGTGCACAGTCGATGACGGCATTATGGTGGGATAGGAAGTCCCATCCGAGGATGACATCATGCGAACAGACAGCAAGGACAATAAACTCCACAGTGTAAACAATGCCTTCGATGGACACTCTTGCAGTGCAGGCTGCGAGAGGCGTTACTTGCTGTGCACTTGCGGTGTGGAGTGACAGTCCAGAAAGTGGCGTCGTGACTTTACGTAATACACGGCAGACATTAGCGGCAATGACAGAAACAGCGGCGCCGGTGTCTACAAGGGCGAAAGTAGAATAACCTTCAACAGTTAATGCGACCACGTTAGCAGGAGAGGGGCGAGGGCTTAGACAGTTCGAAAATGACGCAGTTCTTGCCTCTTGAACTGCGGTGCTTAGTTTTCCTGGTCAGGTCTGGGCCGGCGACGCATGGGGGAGGGCGATCGCCGACGAGGAGAGGGTGTGCGCGGCGTCACAAAGTCGGGGTCGTTAGGAGGGGCATAGCGAGGTGACGAGACCGGCCCGTATTGCGCGAAGGGTTGGCTGCCGGTTTGCGACGATCGGACATAGTCGCCGAACGCCTGAGGTCGACGGCGGCAGTAGCGAGCAACGTGTCCGGGAGTGAAGCAGGTGTAGCAAATCGGTCGGTTATCGGGCGTCCTCCAGGGATTGGCGACTGGTGCTGCCGCCCAAGGTGCAGTGTAAGCAGCCGGGTGTGCGGTCTGTGAGCGCGTAGTGTAGGATGGTTGCGGAAGCCTACGCACAGCGTCTGCATATGTGAACGGCGCTGCTACAGGCTGCATCACTTGCGAGCAGGCGACAGGAGGAGCCACAGGCTGCGCTGCATACGTTAGGGGCGCGGCCACAGGCTGCACGGCTGGCGGATAGGCGACAGGAGGGCCTACCGGCTGCGCGGCACGCTGGCAGTGGGCAAGGCTGGATAGAGGCGGCTCGTGGTGCGCAACAGGAACAGCTTGGGCAACCTCTTCCGAAATAGCAGTGCGAAGCGGGGCAGGTAGGCGGGTGGTGGTCTCGTGAGTGAAGGGCACTAAAGAAAGTTGGCGGGCGACTTCCTCACGGACGAAGGCTCGAACTTGCTGAAGCAGTGGTGAATTGTCCGGCAGGGTGTCGAAACTGGACAATGACTCACCACCATGCTGAGGCTGCCGAGTCAGAGTGCGTTGCTTCTTTAACTCGTCGTAGCTCTGACACAAGCTGACGACTTTGGAAACTGTGCTCGGATTTCTTGCCAAGAGCATTTGAAATGCGCCGTCGTCGATGCCCTTCAGGATGTTTTTGACCTTGTCAGATTCGGGCATGGTGTCATTCACACGTCGACAAAGGTCGACGACGTCCTCAATATAGCTGGTAAAGGTCTCGCCAGTCTGCTGAGAGCGGACGCGCAAGCGCTGTTCTGCCCTCTGCTTGCGGACAGCCGGCCGACCGAACACTTCGGCACATGACGTCTTGAAGACGCTCCATGTGGGGATGTTGTGTTTGTGGTTATTAAACCACAATTCGGCGACGCCAGTGAGATAAAATATCACGTGGCCCAGCTTGTCGGCTTCATCCCACTTATTGTTGGCGCTCACCAGTTCGTAGTGCTCGAGCCAGTCTTCGACGTCGGTCCCATCCGCACCGCTGAAGACCTTCGGCTCCCGTAGCGTAGGATGGCCAGGGCAGTTGAACTGGAGCGAAGGCGTCGATGTAGTGGCGTTGGCAGTCATGACAGGTGGTAGCGTGCGGCTTCGCAGCTCCAGGGTGTAGCAACGGGGATTAACAGCACCTTCCACCAAATGTGAAGAGGTTTATTAGCCGTTAAAGGCAGCGACGAGACAGCGTGAAGAACCGTCCAGCGATCGGCACAGCAACGAACCGGAGCACGAGCCGAGAGAGCCGGGCGTTGGCGATGCTGCTTGCTGCTGGCACATCTTCTTCTTCACAGTTGTAACAAGTGACTACATTTCGCTGCGGCACCCGAAATATGTAAGCAAATTTCGCAGCGGCATGGTGCGCCTTGTGCATTTCACACACAGCGCGACCACTTCAAGAGCACCGCTCGCGCTTGCGGGACCACTGCTGCTGACTAAAATAACATGTTCCGCGCCAACAACCCGTTCCCCTGCTACAAAGCAGCGCGAACTTCAACCATACTGCAGAAAAGTCAATATTTGTGTTAGCGACAGCGGACGCGGTGACCTCCGTGAATCCGCCATGCTGCCACTTCGCCGCGCCCTATTATGTTCGTTTGAGTTGTGAGTATATATTGCATACAGACTCTGCCACCAGCAAATCATGGCGATGCCACTACTGTTGAACATTACTCATTGGTTATGCACAGGACCACCAGCCATTTGCCCCTGCGCAGCAGTGTTACTTTTTTCGTGTCAAGCGCGCACTCTCCGACGATTATTACTATGAATCCATTAAACTGGGAACACACTTCTTTAACAAAGGGCTGAGTGTGTGAGTCTTCGAGGTACTAAAGAAGTTCAGCGGATTTCGAACGCATGCTCTGCTCTCTTTGATTGAGACAAAAAGGTCGCATTCAGAAAGTGCCGCACGATGAACGGCATACGCAGAGCGTTGCCATACGCAATGATAGAGTATGAGGGTCACATGCTTAGGTTATGCGCATGACGACCAAAAAGATAGCATACTCGTAGCAGTACAAAAGCGAATTGGTTGTGTTCTAAACAACGCGCCCAGTCAGCTCATCTGAATTCTCGAGGAATCGACTATTGGAAAGAGGCAAACAAGGATTTGCCACAGCCCAAAATTACTGCCTCCATGAGGTATATAAATTTTGATACCGCTTATGTTCTGTGTAGCATCATCCCAACGTGAACAATGAACGCGCAATATTCTTACGGCCTACTCTAACAAAAATTTAATTATTTCTTTTATACACCACCTGCATCGCGTGCAGCGAAAGCCGGCACATCTCTGTCATCGGTACTCTTTGTTAATTGTTTCTACTACAGCTGTTTAATTAAAGCCTGAACTTGTACTTGACGATCTTAAAAAACAACTCATTTCACAATAAAAGAAGTGTCTTGAGTTTCGGGTTTAAACTAATATAGGGAGTGACTGCAGGCATCATGTTGAGTGGCAGTCATGTGTTGCCTGCAGAAATATGCAGCACAACTGAGCTTCTGCTGTTGTTGTAAATATTATCTCGTGTTTCTCCTATGTTTGTCACTCTTGTTTCTATGTCAAGGCACACACGTGAGTTGATGAACACCTTCAAAGGAGTAACACTTTTTTTTTCATACTGACATAATCATGAATGTTTCGGTGTGAGATAAATTAGGAGTCTGCTTTTCTACATTTACATTCTTTTTTAAAGCTAATTTTCGCATTGAATAATTTAAAATCATCTTGTTGGTCAATACGAGAACACTGTGATGGTATAGGAACATTTGGCTCGGTGTTTCAGCTTTGAACTTTTTTGCTAGTCTTGAGAAGCAATATAAATATACACAGGTGTGAGTTTTAGTGAGTGCTTAAGTTGCATGAGTAGTCAGTTTAAATACTGACTCGATATTAGGTGTGTAGATGAACTCTGCATTACTTCTATTTCTTAGTGACCAATGAGCATGATGAAGTGACTTGGAACAGCCTGTATGAGAAGTAGCAGGTGAGAGAGTGATGAGGTCACGAGCTTGATTATCGTCATGAATTCTTAAAAAAAGAAATGGTATACACCTTGTCATTCAGCCCATTGGAATCACTTCCTTGGCCATAAAGTTTGAGTGCAATACTTAATAGATTTGGACTCACAATTCAGAAACAAATGAACATTGTTTTTTTTTCGTTTGGTTGACAGTAAAATGAGGTTGCAGTGAGACATCTTGTGCCTTGATACAAGGCACAAGATGTCGACGAGGTCATGCTGCAGTAACCTAAAGTGTTCGCATGAGAAATGAGCTTTTGGCTGAATTTCACCTTCCACCATAACACTCAGCTACTAAAGAACTTAATCTATGCTGACAGCTTTTGCCATTTCGATTCTGTTCAAGAGCTTTCAAGAATATTGTGAAGAGAACCATTGTTTTAGTGTCATATGAGAGCTTGCACCTTATTCTGCAATCAGTATCAGAGAGCTCGGTAGACACTAAGTATTTGACTTAGTGAGTCAACCCCATTCAAGTTGCGAGACGTTTTGTGCTAAATTTTTAGGAGAAAGCAATCTGTCACTCAGTATTCGCATCGCCATTTTTTACGAAATGTTTGAACCAGTATTCCTCATTCTGCAGAGAATGGATACACACATAAACCGAAAGGGTGAGTCACCAAAAAATTGCATTTTTACTTTGCGATGCTGGTAAAATAGCATATTGCACTATTGCATCATGATTTGGATTGCAATACTAGCTCCAAGTCGCTAAAGAGAAAAAACATGGCGTATGAGCCAAGCCACGTCTCCCATTCATCGTAGCGTCACACAAGTCGACAGGATGGAGACCTGCCTGCCCCTTCACCAGTCACTCATCATCGACGCAGTTCTACGCAAGACACCCTGAACACCACATGGACAACCGTGCAAGTGCCTAGCATTACGCATTGACCAGCATCATGTCAGAAGCATCTACTGACCTTCCCATCCCCAAATACACCGGAGCAGCGGACGATGGACCCGTACAAGACTGGTTAAACCTGTTCGAACTCCACGCTACCGCTGCATCTTGGTCGGAACGGGAGATGGTTACGAACTTCAGCGACTACATCACCGGTGAGGCATTCAAATTTTACCTAATTCACATCTTCGAGAACGATGAGTCTTGGAAAAAGATCAAAGAAGAAATGATCATTCGTTTCAAAGAATACGATGAAGACCTGTTCATACCTCATCAGCGGAAGGCTTTTCAACTGACCCGTCACAGTTACGCGAAGTCTTCCCGCAGTAAGCCTATTTTCCAAATGAGATCTCAGAGAAAATATACCACCATTGTGCCATCATATGACTCTTCCGAAAAAACGTCACGCATTCGAACACCGACTGGTAACGTGCACGTTGCAACAGACAAGGTAAAACGTCCGTATACCGAAAGGAATCTAGAAAATTTCGCCAAAAAACTGAACCTAAACCCGCCTTTCCCAAGAGCAATGAAATCAGCATTTTCAACGTGTTCACTGCACCACAACACTTCAGCTTTTACAGAACCACCCAAATGTCTTGATGCATCGTGTCACACACAAGGCCCAAGCGGTTTCGAGCGTGCGACGGAATTCACGCGTGACGAGCTAGTGAATCCTCACAATACCGGCCCCTACCCTGACGTTCCGGACCAGGGTCGTTCGACAGACATTGTCAGCCTAACTACGCTGCAAAAAGAAAAACATACCCCATCAGAACCATCTGAAGCCATGTCTGTTGTGCTCTCATCGTCAAGTGACAACACACATGTGAGTCAAAGCACTGCAGCAATTTCGAATCCACCAACGCCGGCGCATTGTCAACTGACAGAAGCATTTACAATCAAGGATGACTCACAACCATCTTGGGAGTGTTCTCATCAACCTGTCACGCTGCTTTCATGGCAGGACAAACCTAGCAGTACAGTGTCGACTACCGACAATCTACTGATCACATCACCATCTAAAGAAAAGCAGACTCATGTTCCTGAAAGAGGCCCATCTTGACGAACTTCACAAGAAGACGAGCAATTTCCAACAAAGGCAACTCCACGAACTCGAAGAACTGCAACGGCTACTTGAACAAGAACAACGATCAAGTGAAACCTCCTCACGAGTACACTTGTGGCTGAAAGATCATCAGAGACAACATCAATTAAAGAAGCAAAGACGAAGTCGATGCCTAAGCCATCTTCGCAGAAAGCAACGTCGTCAAAGTTTTCTGCACCAGTTCTCAACGCCGTGTCTACGATTCAACAAACTGAGAGAAGACCACAGAAAGCTACGAAAGAGACGTGCAGCTACCACGTGTACAATGAAGGAACAAAGGCATCATACCATCAGCTTCGGTTCTCGCACATGCAGGCTGCAAGCACTCGTTCTGTCTCAGCCACGACACAGAAAGCAGCGTCTACGACGGAGAACTTCGTGCCTACGACATCCGACTCTCAAATGCTACAAGTACTTCGACACTTGTTCATTCATGACGAGATTCGCTGTGTCATCAGTAATTTCTACGTTCAAGGCGTGCTTCAGTTGGCCAGAACGCAACAGTCAACCTCGCCCACCAGAGTTGTCATAAAATTCATCGGACTGGTCAATCGGCCTTGAAGATTTCGTGAGATTGTGAAACTCCGTCTGGACGTGAAACTGTGTATTTGGGCATTTTTTTGTTCATTCACTTCTTTAATTTGTTATAGTTTGTAACCAGTGCCATCTTTCGGGGGGAGGGGGAATCGTGTGACGTGTCAAGTGATGGTTAGTAGAGGTAGAGAAGGAAGAAGTCAGAAGAGAAAAAACATGGCGTATGAGCCAGGCCACGTCTCCCATTCATCGTAGCGTCACATATATATTCTCACGCATGTAAAAAACGAACATCATTTCATCAAATCTTTATTATAGGTGTACGAAACTGTGTCCCTTCAAATAATCCATGAAGCCAGCATCAGTTTCGGAGGCAGTTCAAAGTTGTTGTTTGCATCACGAGAAATTAGTTGAGGTGAAATAGCGATGAGCAGGCTGACGTACTGTATCAAAGTGAACAATTGGGCCAATTGGTGATACATTGATAGTTGGCGTCTCTCCTTGTCTTTTTCCCGTGCGTATTTTCTACCACGTAGTACTCTTAGATGACCTTCCTTCTTTGCGTTGGAGCGGAAATATGTGCTCTCAAGTGAAATACGGATATTATAAACCCTTAGAGAATTTAGCTCTCACACGCTATTAACAAAATATGTTATAAATTGAAGAGTTTTAAAAGAAAAGGGAACAGAGATGTATTATAGCAGCTTCATAGCGTGTTTCATATGTTGACCAGCATTCCTTTCATATTCAGATTGCGGCGTGTCGGAACATACCGGACGGGTATTTAATGGCAAGATCATAGAGAGGCCACAGATTCCCTGGATAGTAAGTGCACATTACCGAAAGGTCTCTTTCATTGTAAACTGACAGATTTCTCTTAAGCAAGCTAACGTAAGGGCTCGCATGTACACTGTGAAGGAGTATTGCTGAACTTTACCGAGTACAGCTCGAGAAGTATAAGCCTTAGTTTTGGGAAATAAGAACGGAGTGATATCACAGTGCAGACGTCTCGTAAAGTCTGTTTTTGCTCTCGATTGCTGCATATTGTTATGACAATCCGAGGTAGTGTTCTATAAATAACCGTTCCTGCAAAATATGGTCTTTGCGAGACTTTACTTTTGTATATGTAACGAGAAGACGCTCGAAATATCGCTTTCGCAACTGTTCATCGCTGCGCTGCTAGCTGTTTTGCCTATATAAAAGCTGCCTATGCAGGAGACCTTAACTGACAATTTATCTTAAGAACGCTCCTTGAAGAAGCAGTGGTGTTATGAGGAATATCAGCGTGCCCAGACGCACAAGAGTGCATTTCTCCTTTAAGCAAATGCCTCTGTCGATGATGGGTAAACTGAGCGAAACGCAGGTCGGTTGCGATGCCAGCAGAGCTTTTTGCCATCTTTTCTAAAGTGTTACCCCTTAAAAACAGTTGGAACTGGTCTGAACTTTTTGATTTTGTTTGGTTGGATTTTGCAATGTACTGGCTAACGGGCGAATCTCTAGTAACTAACCCCTGTATTCACAAACGCTACTCGTTTCAACTTTCACCCTTCACTTGACAGAGTTGAGCGCTGCGCCACAGCTCGGCTCAAAAATGACGCTGTGCTACTCAAGAATTGCAGCAGATTATCGCTGATATTTGCCATGCCTAGAGACGGCGCTCCCATCGGCTTTCTCAAATGAAAGTGGAGCGTTGAGTGAAGGGATGTTCTAGAATACGGGGGTAAGATGTTTCAGTGGCCGTTATTATTGCTACATGTTATCTCATTTTCATGCTGTTCGCAGAAGGAAATTTGCGAAAAACGACAATTTCTTGTCCCTCTTATCAGTTATCTGCACGGAAAAATATAACTAGGCAGAAAACAATACCGAAACATTCTTCAAAGTTGCATGGACGCATGACGCTGGATATGGGTGAATACGCATGCGTGAAAAGGGGCGGCATGCGAATTAAGATACCGTATTTCGTAGCAAGTCTGCGCGAATCGAAGTCACTTCCACAAGAATCGCCCTTCATAAACTGGCTAAGCTTTGTTAATAAGAATGACAGGTGCACGCAAATGTGGCCTAGTTATTCCAAGAGCTGCCTAATGTTGGCCCGCTGTTAGTTAAGGTTCCCGAGTGCATGCTAATTTTGGCTAAATATGGCTGATTCGGGCTAACGCTCAGTGAATGTTGGCGAACTGCCGGGTAGTATTGCTTATTGCTTGCTAGGGTTACTGATTGCGTAATAGCAGTGCATAACGTTGCCTAAAGCTTGTATAGTACTTCCTAAAACTGAGAATCATCTATTGCCCCATAGTGTTGGTAATACATGCCCTCTATTGATAGTGGTGGTTAGTGCTGGCTAGTATGACTTGATGTTTGCTAACTGTCACGCATGGTTATCTTGTGCTTGATATTTTTGCATGTCTTTTATTGCTCCTCCTCTCTCTCTTTTTCACCCTCATGCCCCTCTCTCCCGCGTAAGGTAGCAAACTGCACTTAGTCTACTTAACCTCCCTGCCTTTATGATATTTTTTCTTCTCTCTCATTGCTTGTTGCCTAGTGTTAAACAACGTCGTCTAACATTGGTGAGACGACAGTTAACGTTGTCTAGTCGTGACTAACACCAAGGAGTGTTTTATTATCCACGCTGATAACTTTAAAAGCATTACATACCTAGTACTGCAGCTACAACCTATTGTGTACTGTTGTTCAAGCCTGTACGAATGCAAACACGAACTTACTATAGTTCTTACGCTGCTAGTTAATGATCCTACACGTGGTAATCGCCCTTTAGGTCTCTTCTTAAAAAACAACCCCGATATTGCCAAAACACATGTCCTATAATCCATTAATGACCATAACGTAGTGAAGTGCTCTTTCGCACTTTCTCATGCTGACAAAACAAGCAGTAAAAATGCATTCTTAACTACGTGCTAGCTGATAATGAGAAGATCAACCAAATTCTGCAAGCATTCTCAATCGGCTTCCAAGAAATCTTTGAGAACTGTTCAACTATAGTCTCAACTGTATCGTATTTCACAATAAATTGAAAGAGATAGAGGATTTCTGCGTGCAGAAACATATAGTAAAAACACGTGACGATGTTTCGTAGTTTACGCAAGTGGTAAAGAGATGTTTTGAATAAGAAAAAAAGGTCGCACAAAAAGGTGTCGCATAAAAACATTCCATCTGACTGGCAAAACTAAAATACATGTCTGTGCTGGCAGAAAGAGCTATCAATGACACTGAAAATGAATACTTTAAATTCACGCTTCCTAACATTTTGAAAAACGAACCTAAAAACTTGGGAAGTCACGAATTCAAAGAATAATCGCTTTTACCAACGCTTCGAGGTGATGATAGCGTTGTATTATCAGTTGCTGAATGCGCAGAGGCTTTCAGCAATAATTTCGCCTCGGTATTTACTAACGAATTACCTTTAGATAGTTCACTTAATCTCCCTCAACCTCATGTTGAACCTCCTGTTACACCCATTATAGTTATAGCAAACGGCGTACAATGTGCAATAGAACGCCTCCCAGTTAAAACAAGCCCATGTCCCGAAGAAATTAGCGCTAAACTTCTAAAGCTAACCAAGCATCATTCAGACTACATACTTTCCCTGCTATCGCAGCAATCTATCTGCACAGGATGCATACTAGAAGACTGGAAATCAGCGTTCATAATACCTATATAAGGTCAGGTGGCAGTTTCCTTCCGGCAATTACAGGCCGATATTGTTAACGTCAATTAGCAGCAAGTTACTGGAACACATAATCAACAAACATATCATAACATATCTATACAAGAACAACTTACTTCTTATAAACCAGCTTGGCTTGCGCAAAAACCTGTCCTGCCAAGCCCAACTTTTCAAAATAGTAACAGATCTTCATCCATTACTTCACTCATCACTGTACGTCGACGCAATCTTCATAGACTTTTCCAAGGCATTCGATCGCGTCCCTCACAACCGCTTGATTTTAATAGTACGCAATGTTCAGCTCGACCACAAAACAACAAAATCGATGGAACATTTTCCAACAAACCGAAAACTGTTTGTCAACTGCTTTTATAATGGACACGATATATGAGCGTGTTTGTCATAGACAAAAGTGTCAGTTATGGTCCACCGAAACGTTCTTCTGTACCTCATTGCAGACGACGTCTGGTAAACACACACCACTAAACTACTGCTCAATCTAAGAGTAAACTGTCAGGGCTGCTCGTAACGTCTAGTTTGACACGCAACTTCACGCTGGTAGTATATGCTTACACCACTGAATGCGGCTGAGACAGACCCTCACTGGCTGCTCCACATAAATTATCTTCGACGTTATTATTTGAATATTTTGACAAGTGAAAAACATTATTGTAGCCTAATGCTTGTTACGATATTTTTAATAATGATCCACACTATGTCTTTCATAGGCTTACGCTCGTAGCTATAGACATTATGCAACCTCCTACCATGATGAAGCTCTGTCGTTGCATATGGTATTGCGCATGTGCTGAAAGACTAGCGTTATCTTTGGTATGGTTCGACATGCAATATTTTCATCATCATCATCATCATCATCATCACCACCATCATCATTATTTTCCCTTAAGTGCCCCTGACGGGTATTACTTAAGGGGGGGGGGGGGTCGAACAAGGATACAAAAGGGCAATTCCAGATCGAGAACCTAAAGTAGGTTAAAATTCAAGAATAGGAAATACAAGGCAATAATAAAAAGAGAAATCGTTATATAACTAATAGCATGATTATAAAAAAATGAGAGAAAGGCAACTGTCTACACTGAAATTACGACGGTGCGGTTGTAAAAACAAGTTTCTAGTAAGGTTTTACACTTAACAGTATTTCGTTCGTTGGCTATTGCATCTGGAAGCCAATTCCCATCCTCAATTTTTAACGGGAGGAAAGATTTGTTGAAAGCCTTGGTTGAACCTTTTAAACTTTGGACACTCAAAGAATTGAAGAGATGGCGCGAAGTTCGAATTGGTGGGAGAAGCAGGGAGCCATGTAAGTAAAAATAATTGAAATACAGTTTGTGAAATAAACAAAGGCGTGCTATTTTTCGTCTAAGATCCACAGATGTGAGAGACAGTGATGATTTTATAGCAGTAACACCTGTGCGGAAATCGTATTCGGAGGTTATAAAACGAGCCGCGCGATTTTGAATGATTTGAAAGGCGTCTATTAAATAAGATTGGTGTGGATTCCAAATTTGGAGAGGCATACTCTAGTTTACTACGGATGTAGGTTTCATAGGCGAGTTTACAAACTGAGGCCGGTGAGCAGGACAGGGATCTTCTAATGAATTGATTGATTAATATGTGGAATTTAACGTCCCAAAGCCACCATATGATTATGAGAGACGCAGTAGTGGAGGACTCCGGAAATTTTGACCACCTGGGGTTCTTTAACGTGCACCCAAATCTGAGCACACGGGCCTACAACATTTCCGCCTCCATCGGAAATGCTGCCGCCGCAGCCGGGATTCGAGCCCGCGACCTGCGGTTCAGCAGCTGAGTACCTTAGCCACTAGACCACCACGGCAGGGCGATCTTCTAATGAAATCTAATGTTTTGGGTGCATCGGCAGTAAGCTGTGCGATATGGTCAGCCCATGTTAGTTTGCTGTTGATGAGAACACTTAGGTATCGGTACGATTCTGCTAGAGCGAGATCGTTAGATTGGAGGGAATAAGTAAAATTCAGGTTTGAACGCTTACGGGAAAGTTGCATAGATTTACACTTATAATTATTAAGTTGCATCATCCATAAAGAACACAAATTTTCAATTACATATAAATCATTTGGAGGGCAAGTTGATCACAGCCATCACATATACGGCGGTAAACGACACAGTCATCGGCAAAGAGACGTATTGAATATGTAGCACTTGAGGGAAGGTCATTATTAAAAAATAGAAAGTGGAGAGGGCCAAGGACGAAACCTTGAGGTACGCCAGATATTACATTTGTAGTCGAGGAACGGTGACCTCCGATGACTGTGTATTGGGATGAATTAGTGAGGAAGGCTTGTATTCGTGGCAGTATGAGCAGGTCTAGATTAAGGGAGGAAAGTTTAAGCATAAGTCTTTGATGAGGAACGCGATCGAATGCCTTAGAAAAATCGAGGAAGATGACATCTGTTTGAAATGAAGAGTCGAGGCTTAAGTGGAGGTCCGTTGTAAACTCAAAATGTTGAGTTTCACAGGAAAACCCTGAGCACAAGCAATGCTGATTTTTTTTTAAAAAAGAAGGAGTTGTTTTCAAGATGGGTTACCACGCTAGAGTATAATATGTGCTCAAGCAGCTTACAAGATATTGAAGTTAAAGAAATTGGACGATAGTTTGAAGGAACGGACCGATTACCCGCTTTAAATATTGGAGACATGCTGCTTAGCTTCAAGTCATGCGGAAGCGTACTGTCTTTTATCGTTTGCGTGAATATTATTTCTAATATTTTGCTGGAACACGTTATCGCACCTTTAAGCATTTCAGCTGTGACTTTATCTGGTCCAGGGGCACAAGATATATATATTTTTTGTTTTTCAATTAGTTTAGCGGCGCCCGAGGCAGTAATGCTAATCGGAAGCATTTGGGAGAAATGTTGGAAGGGTAAATCGGGGCTAACAAAGTTATTTTCATGGGTGAAAACGGGCAGAAAAAATGTATTCATGGTGTCAGAGCGTTGGTCCTGTGGTACCTCTTAGCCGTCGGAATTTCTCAAAGAAAATGTATGTGTGTAGCTGTGTTTCGGGGTTAGGAGATTTCAGAATTTACGGGGGTTAACGCGTAAAATGCTTAACCTGTCATGGTGATAAAACTTTTCTGTAGAGCGTCGCAGAAGACGTGTGTAATCACGAAGAGACTTGAAATATTTAGACCACTTCGCTGTAGTGGAGCGGCGTTTTGACTCTCGAAAGAGAGGCAAAACGCCGCTCGTTACGAGAGACGTTACGAGCAGCCCTGAAGTTTATTCCTAGATTGAGCAGTAGTTTAGTGGTGTGTGTTTACCAGGGTCATGTGAGTATATAGACCAAGATTTTCTTCCGCAGTAGAAACTCTTAATGAAAGTAATTTATAGAACTAAAGGAGAATGCTTCCACTCTAATGTTCATTTATGTGGCATTTGAATGAATACGTTGTGCGTGTTCACTAAACTATGGTCCATGGACTGGATTTGAAGAATTGCGCAAATACAGCTTTTTCACCTGGTGACAGAAATTTCCGATTGTGAACACCTATATTTTGTATTTCTAGGTTCAGATTGTTTCTCCTATACAAGGAACAAAGCATGATGCCGCTTGTGGTGGAAGCATCATAACAAGAAATGTTGTGTTGACTGCAGCTCATTGTTTGACAGGGTGAGTAGGACTAAGAGTACATGTATGCGGTGTGTTCAACTGTAGTAGTTGGTGATATGCAACATTCCAAATGCAGACCTCGAGAACCACTATAGAAACACAGACCAATTACAGTTTCATCACCCCTCTTAACATCGGCGTGGAGAACCAAACATGATGTGTATATTCCTGTGTGGTAAACATGCACATACGACTGTCTCAAGGATGCAAGCTAGCCTCATTAGATGGACCGAATATGGTCGTGCAGATGTGCGAATGCCAGAGAAGCAAAGCTTCTTTTTTAAGTGTGAATACACTTTATAAGCGACCCCAAACCATCCACTGCCGTCGGCGGCGTCCGCAGTCTTCTCTCTATCTTTAAAAGAAAGAGGACTTGGCGGTGGTGGTGGTGGTGGTAAAAAGCATTTATTTCAGAAAAAGTTTACTAGAGAGTGCCGACGTGGCCCATCGGCGTGCTAGAGTGGCAAGACCCTATTCCGGGACGCCAGTGGAGCTGGAAGCTGCCCGTGCGCGCTCCACCAAGGAGCGTTGTGCAGCCAAGGTAGAGCAGCCGAGCAGGTGCTCCTCCCAAGCCTCTCTAGTTGGGATAGGAAAAGGGGATGAGAAAGGGACGGGATTAACTGGGCACGATGCTACGACGTGATATGTGTCGGCGAGCACATGACAGGTCGAGCAGGTGCCATTGATTTCCGGCAAAAAGTGCCTGGCGACCGCCGGACTGATAAAGGTGTTCGTCTGCAGGCGGCGTAGCAGTCGTTCGTCCGCTTTCTCCAAACCGCGTGCGGGGTCCGGGTAGAGGCGGCGCGAAGCCCGGTAATAAGCCAAAATTTCGCGAAAGCGCGTCAGGTTGGTATTGCCAGATTCCGTCTCGGGACATGGAGGGGCAACGGCCCGGACAGGAGAAGCGCGGGCAGCGGCATTTGCCGCCTCGTTGCCGGGCAGGCCCGAGTGGCCTGGGGTCCACACTATACGAATGGGATGAGGGTTAAAGCGCCAAGAGGCTGCCTGTAGTAGGCTAGCCGCCAGCGGAGCAATGGAACCCTGAAGGTACTGAGAACAGGCCGAGCGCGAGTCCGTCAGGATGGTGCGTGAGGCAGGGTGAGAGGCGGCCAAAGCTATGGCAACCTCTTCAGCGTGCGTTACTGTGTCTGCTCGAAAGGAGAGGCCATCTACGTGTTTGCCCTCTGTAATCACGGCAGCCGTGAAGTGACCCGAGGGGGAGGGACCCGAGACGTCCACGTAGAAAACACCAGGACGATCGGAGTGTCGCGTATGAAGGGCCGCGGCGCGTGCTAGTCTACGGCCAGGATGGAGGTCAGGGTTCATATTACGGGGTAGAGGTTCCACCCATAGCTTTTGACGCCAGAGCTTTGGTACCGGCTGCAGAGGGTCTTGGTCAGATATCGGGTTAAGGCCAAGTCTGTGTAGAAGACGGCGCCCTGAAGGCGTCTGTGACAGTCGATTGATTTGGTTAACGCGATGAGCTTCGCGCATCTCTGCAAAGGTGTTGTGTACCCCCAGAGCCGTGAATCGGCTGTTGGAAGTCGCAATAGGTAGGTCCAGAGCGCGTTTGTATACTGAACGAAGAAGGACGTCCAGCTGGTGCTCGTGTCGACGACGCAAGCGAAGGTAAGGCAAGGCGTAGAGGACGCGACTGGTCACAAACGCGTGGGCCAATCGGAGGGACTGAGACCCGCGGAGGCCGCCGCGCTTGGTAGAAACTCGCCGTATCATGCGGCTCACCTGTTCGCTGGTGCGTCTGAGGCCTGCTATTGTGCCCTTTGGATCCAAGGACGATGTGAGGTGAAGGCCAAGAACCCGAATATTTTGCACTGACGGGACGGGCCCGGACGGAAGAAAAATTTGAGGCGGCGGTAGCGGAGAGACTGAAAGAAGAGTCGATTTAGCTGGAGAGCACTCCAGGCCGCATGAACCTGCGTAGGTGTCCACCAGAAGGGCAGCCTTTTGCAGGCGTTCTTCGATTTGCGCTAAGGAGCCGGTGTTGGTCCAGATTGTGATATCGTCCGCATATAGTGCGTGTTGTATTGCCTCGACCTCGCTTAGAAGAGAGGGGAGGTTCATCATCGCCAGGTTAAAAAGCAGAGGAGACAGGACTGCCCCTTGAGGTGTACCCCACGTGCCTAATAAGTACGGGCCATGTTCGGTAGAATTAAGGCGAATGAAGGCGGTGCGATGTGATAGAAAGGCGCGAATGTAGTTGAAAGTCTTCTGCCCGCAGTCTGTGGTAGACAGGTTAGTGAGTATAGTGCTGTGTTTGACGTTGTCGAACGCCCCGCGGAGATCGAGAGCGAGCACGGCTTTATCGTTATGGCGCATAGTAGTCGGCTCTATGATATCGTGTTGAAGCTGGAGCAGGACGTCCTGCGCCGACAGATGCGGGCGAAAGCCAAACATCGTGTCGGCAAAGGTGCTCCTGGCCTCCAAGTTGGCGGAAAGGCGTTCGCGAACCATGGTTTCCATGAGTTTGCCTGCGCAAGACGTAAGTGAGATAGGTCTCAGTGCCTCAATACTAACGGACTTAGCCGATTTGGGAATGAATGTCACGACCGATGTGGTCCATTCCGTTGGAAGCGGAGAACCATCCCATATCGAATTTATAAGCTGGAGTAGCGAGAGGTGTGCTTGGTCGGGAAGATTTGCCAGGAGCGATACTGTGATTCCGTCGCGTCCAGGGGCCGTGCCCCGTCGCATTTTCGTGAGTGCAAATCGTAAATCAGAAAGCGTGTATGGGGCGTCAAGGTCGGTGTTAGGGGCGCCGGAATACGTATATGCTGGGCCTGTGGGATCAATTGTGCGGCAGATGTAGCGGTCACAAAGTTCTCGCGCGAGTTCATCCGTAGTGCCCTGAAATGCATGCAGAACACGGTGGAGCTGGCGTTGCGTTTCTCCCCTGGTGGTGGAGGGATCGAGAAGGCTTCTAAAGAGTCGCCACGCACTCTTAGAGCTCATCTGGTTTGCAGCCTTCGAACGCGTGTCTGCCCAGTTAGCATCGGAAAGTTGTGCGGAGTATGCGGCCGCCTCTGCAGTGAGCGCCTCAATGCGAGCGCGAAGTTTCCGATTAAGTTTGTTGCGTTTCCAGCGCCTTATGAGCCCGCGGCGAGCGTGCCAAAGATGTAGGAGGTGTGGATCGATTGCAGGAGTCAAATTAGAGGTTGCAAGGGTGCGAGTGTTCGCTTGTTTTATATGAAGAGCGTATGATGCCCACGCTGCATATTCGGTCGAGGAGAGGCCGGCGGGGAATGGTTGCATTCTGAACTGAGTCCAATCGGTGAGACGGGCTTGGCCCCAGTGTTGGCGCATTTTCTGCCGCGGTGTGAACGAAATGCGGAGTAAAAAGTGATCGCTGCCTAGGTTTTCGCCTAAATTTTCCCATGTAGCATCGCGGATGTGACGGGTGAGGGAGAGGTCGGGGCATGTGTCTCGCGTGACCGAGTTGCCGGAACGTGTGGGTTGTGCCGGATCGGTAAGAAGCGTCAGGCTCAGCGAGGAAATGAGCTCCTTGAGCTCTCTGCCCCGGGCCTTCTCGTAGTGGTAACCCCAGTGAGGGCTGGGGGCATTAAAGTCCCCGACAATCACCAGTGGTTGTCGGGCCGCTATACGCAGTGCCCGATGGAAGAGATGCGCAAACGAAGCCCTCGAAAGGCGAGGGGGACAGTACACGTTTAAGATATGTATTGATGGTTGGCCCCTCTGCTGAGACAGCACTGATATCATGCAGTAGTCGTAAGGAAGATCCAGATCGAGGTCGATCTGTATCGCCGTGTAAGGCGATACAGATCGCCGTGTAAGGTCGCCTCCTCTCCCTCCTCTCTCTCCTCTCCACCTTCTTCTGCCACAAGCACTACCGAAACACAAAAAACTCAGGCATGAACTCGCCCTTTTCCGATCTCAGAATGAAAAACTAGCCAGCGAACTTGACTTGCTCAAAACCAATCTCACTACTAAGCCCTCGTTGAGCGACGAAGAGGAAAATATAACAGACAGGGAGATTCCTACTACTGTAGAGAGTCGCGTCGCGGCCCTGGAGACCCAGGTGAATGCAATAGAAACACAATTGGCCGACCTCCCCAAAATTATCCACGACACCATCGCGCGTCATATGGAGACTGTCATCGCACAGGTGACACAAACAGTAACTCACATTATCCAAAAGTGGATACAAGACAATCCGCGCGTCCTCAAGCGCGTAGGGCCAATTAGGGACGTTAATCGTCCCTCAAAATTTAACAGAGTGACTCCAGATGAGTCGGACTTTTCTGAAGACTCCAGTACGTCAGCACAGGGTGCTGGTGAACTGAGTAATCTTAACAACACAACCCCACCCTCTATCTCCGAACATGGCCTCCAACCCTAGGTCGCGAGCCAGAGCAACTCAGCCGTTGTTACTAACACAGTGGAACTGCAGATGTCTCAAGAACCATAAGAAGCGGGCTCATTTCCGCCTCTATCTTGAGACCTTTGAGTTCCTTGTTGCCGTGGTTGCCCTTCAGGAACCCGGCTCGGACGTCAAACTCACAAATTACACTACATTTCAACACAACCCGGAGACATGTATACTTGTTCACAAGCAATATACCGCCCAGGAAGTCACACTCCCCACAACACCGCCTTTCCCATACACAATGGTGTCGGTGCTGCCTATAAGGCGATCTGACCCACCTGTTCATATTTTAAACATTTACTGTCCCCCAAAGCTTAAGAACGTCACGTTCAGCGAAACTTTCACACAAGCTATGCAGGTGGCAGGACGGGACCCCCTCCTGATCGTCGGCGACTTCAATGCCCCAAGCAGGTTATGGGGTTACCCACGAGAGGACACGCGTGGAAGGAAGCTTGCGGAACTTCTTTCTACACTTGGACTCACCCTCCACACTGATCCCGCCAGCCCAACACGTGTAGGCAACTCTGTTCAACGAGATACTTGCCCGGACCTCACAATTACACGCAACATACGCCATGCCGACTGGCTGAACACACAG